AAATCTCAAAAAAAAAAAAAAGCAGCTGGGTGCTGTGGAGGCATGTGTGTGGCACAAAACTCAGGGCAACCCTGGAGGTAGGAAGGAAGGGGAGTCGGAGTGGGGAGCCCGAGTGCAGTGAGCTCAGATGCGGAGACGGCAGGCCACAAGACAGCCTAGAAGTTGTGCGCGGTCCCTTGTGCCAACGCGGGGCTGAGGAGGTAGGAGGCCAGGAGATGAAGATGACTTGGCCAGAGACGAGGTGGCAGCTCTCCCGATGCCTATTTGACAGATTTGGGCAAGTGGCTGTCTGTGAGTGAGACTAAACGGAGGGCTCCTTGAGCTTCATGCTCAGGGCTGGGAGAGCTGGGAGGAGGCCAGGAAAGAGCAGAGGGCTGTGAAGTTCTGGGTGTGGTTTCATGGCCCTGAGAGGCAGGGGGTGGAAGCCATCAGTGGGTGGGGACCAGGAACTCGAGGGAAATGAGGCTGGACATAAAGGTCAAGAAGTAAGGAGTCCTCGGGGGGTGTGCTGGGACCTCAGTGATGACCATGACGGGGATGCAAGGAAGAGGAGGCCCGACTTGGTGGAAAGTTACAGTGTGCATGGAGCCCTGAACTCTTCTCAGTTTCACCCAGCAGCCATCTTTGGGAAGTGGAGGAGCCGGGACTCAAGTCGAGGCCTGGCCTCACTTCTGAGGCCCACAACCTGCTGCTGCCCAGCAGTTACACAGGGACCATTTGAAGCAGCGGGGACAAATGAGGCAGCTTCATAGAGAGTATGGCACAAAATGTGGGGAGAGGATGGAGCTTTGAGGAACTTCAGCAACTAAAAATGAGGAAACTGGCACAGGATGCTGAGCAGGGGCCCCCGACTGGGGACCAGGGGTCAGCCAAGACTGTACTTCCATAAACGAGAGGCAAAGGGAGGGCAGAACAGAGCCTCCCGGGAGCTGTCGCAGGGATGGAAGCTGAGGAATAAGGGGAGATGAGGAAGCAGCGATGGTGCCTGGAGGCCCCTCATTGCAGAAGCTTCTCTCTACAGGCAGCGCTGGAGGTGCCAGGTGGGGGAAGGCAGGACAGGGAGGAAATGGGAAGCAGGAGGGGTCAGGGGAGGATGGAACTGCCACTGGCCATGGGTTCACCTTTGAGGATCGGACGGCCCAAGCATACCTGTGGGTCCCAAACCTGCTTACTGCTGGCACTGTGCCTTCTGAGCTGACCATATACCTCAAACCCAGGGCAAGGCCCGGAGACCCACCACCTGCTCCTTGGGAAGGAGACGTGGGTTAATTATGATGACACCGGGGGAGGGCCACGTGAGCACAGGGCGCAGCTGAAGTGAATGTTCAGAGCACTCTGGAATCTGGTTTTCTGTAAGTACCCTTCCCCACTATCTGTATTCCTCTCTAAAAGGTTTAATAACTTTTTGGATACTCAAGTTCTAGCTTTGATTCTCTTTTTTCTTTTAAGGAATTATTTGTTTAATTTTATTTATTATTGTTATTTTAATTTGACCAGAGAACGATACAGAAAGTAAGAAAACAAGCTGCCAGGTCTGGGACTCAAACCTTGGTCGTGTATGTGGGAGTCCAGTACCTTAATCACACCACCTACCAAACCCTAGCTTTGATTCTTTCTGTCTGAAGCTTGTTGGCTTTGCCATGCCATCATCCTTCAGTTTTCAAATACATCCCTAGTTTTTAGCACTCCAGAATGTTCCAGATTCTGGGACGGGCAGATGGCGTAACGGTTACATCACTGGATTCCCACATAGTCAATCGTGGATTGAGTACCAGACCCAGCGGCTTAAAACTCACACTGAGCATGTGTGCATGTGTACCCAAAATCCCAAGCAGAGAATGGAGAAGGGATTGCAGCATGGTCATCCCCCCTGGGGGAAGGGGGCGGGGAATTCCTCACTTTCTGTCTCTTTCTGTCTCTGTCTCTTGGGCATGCACACACCCCCCTATAACAAAAATTTCCCCTCCCCCCCCCCCCCCAAAAAAAAGGCATGTTCCAAGCTCCTCTTCTGTTATTTCCTGCCTCAGCCCAAGAATCAGCCATTTCTTCAAAGAGCCCTTATTCCTCCTAGTGGGGAATGGTATTTAGAAACCAAAGTCTGGGGCCAGCTCTGCTGTGCCACTGCTCAAGAAAAGCTGGATCCCACACAGTGGCCATGGTTCAATTCTCAGGCCCAGTCAGCCTGAGACAGGCCAGGAATGCACAGGAATATGCAAGCTGATGGGACCAGCAGTTAGCGTAATGGCTATGTCGCTGGACTCCCACGTAGTCGACCGCGGTTCGTGTCCTGGACCCGGTGGCTTAAAACTCACGCTGGGCGCGTGTGCGTGCGTGCCCAAGATCCTGAGAGGAGAATGGAGGAGAAGGGATTGCAGTGTGACCATCCCCCCTGGGGGGTGATTTCTCGCTTTCTGTCTCTGTGTCTCTCTCTGTCTGTCTGGTGAGCTCACACGCCCTATTGCAAAAAACTCTAAAAAAAAAAACGCAAGATGAAATGGCTGGAGGACTCAGAGGAAGGGGATTGCAGCATGATCAGATTTTAAGGGATTAGTATTTTCGAGAAATTACATACTGGTCCCATAGCCTAGGGACCCCACATAGCCAACCATGGTTCAAATCCTGGCCCTGGTGGCTTGAAAAACACATCAGAAGGCCCAGCAGGTGGTGTGGTAGTTAAAGGTGTTGGATTCCCACATGGCCCACCACGGTTTGAGTCCCATCCCAGACCTCTTACTTTGTCACTTTCCCTCTCTCTCTCTCTCTCTCTGGCTCTCTGGTCAAATTAAAATAATAATAACAAATGGAATTAAATAAACAATTTTTTTGGGGGGGAGAGGTTTTCACTCTAGGGCGCGTGTGCTCGCCAGACAGAGAGAGAGATAGAGACAGAAAATGAGAAATTACCCCCCAGGGGGGATGGTCACGCCGCAATTCCTTCTCCTCCATTCTCCTCTTGGGATCTTGGGCACGCACGCACACGCGCCTGGCGTGAGTTTTAAGCCACTGGGTCCGGGATGCGAACCGCAGTCAACTATGTGGGAATCCAGTGACATAGCCATTATGCTAACTGCTGATTCCCAATAAACAAATATTTTTTTAAAAAAATAAAAGAAAAACACATCAGACGTGTGTGTGCATGTGTGTGTACCCCAAATCCTGACAAGATGGAGAAATGGAGAGAGGTGATTGCTGCATGACCACATCCCATTATGGGATGCTTTCTCCCTTTTTTGTCTGTCTCTCTCTGGTGAGAGTATGTGCCCTCTGGCAATTAAAAAAGGAAGATAATGAAAAGAAATCATGAGTCCTGGCTACTGCCAAACTGGAAGCACAAGCCAACTGCAGGTTCTGATTCCCAGGTGGGACTGAAAACACACCAAGCACGTATGCAGGCAGCCCCGATAAAGAGGAAGGCTGGGGCAAGGGGGATCACTGTGTGGTAAGACCTTGTTGGGAGTATTCTCTCTCTCTCAATCTCTCTCTTTGTGATGATGGCACATGTGCTATCATCAAAAAAAAAGAAAAAGGAGGGGGAACCAGCAGTTAGCGTAATGGCTATGTCGCTGGATTCCCACATAGTCGATCGCGGTTCGCGTCCCGGACCCGGTGGCTTAGAACTCACGCCGGGCGCGTGAGTGCGCGTGCCCAGGATCCCGAGAGGAGAATAGAGGAGAAGGGATTGCGGCGTGACCATCCCCCCTGAGGGGTGATTTCTGTCTCTATGTCTCTCTCTGTCTGTCTGGCGAGCGCACACGCTCTATAGCGAAAATCTATCCCAAGAAAAAGAAAAAAAGGAAAAGAAATCATGAGTTCATACTGAAACCTCTACACACCAGCATCACAGTTCTTCCTCACCTCTCATTCCATGGTGAGTTCTGTTTCCTGACAGTATCTATATATTTAGTCATTTGCTTACCAGGTAGAGTCTATTTTAAAGTACTCCCAAAATAACTTCACACCCACCTCATCCTTACCATTATCAATGACAAACATAACATACTAAGCGTAAAACCAGTTCTTTTCTTCCTTAAAAGGTACCCCACAAAGGGCATACAGTAAAAAAGCCATTTAAGGGACCAGCAGTTGACGTAATGGCTATGTTGCTGGACCCCTATGTAGTCGACCGCCGTTTGAGTGCCAGACCTGGTGGCTTAAACTCACGCCAGGCATGTGTGCGTGCATGCACAAGATCCCAAGAGGAGAAAGAAGGAGAAAGGATTGCGGTGTGGCCATCCCTCCTGCGGGGTGATTTCTTGCTTTCTGTCTCTCTGTCTCTATCTTTCTGGCGAGAGCACACACGCTGTAGCAAAAAAAAAAAAAAGTCATTTAAGGGGCTGGCAGGTGACATGGTGGTTAAGGTGCTGGACTCCCACATGGCTGACTGCGGTTCAAGTCCTGGACCTGGCAGCTTGCTTTCTCACTTTCCCTTTCTTTCTCTCTGTCTCTCTCTCTGGTAAAATTTTAAAAAATGAATACTAACAAATTAAAGTAATAATTCTCTTTTTTAAAACAATTATTTTATTTAACTTTATTTTTTAATTTTTATTTTTACTTGACCAGAGAGGGACAGAGTGAGAAAAAGTGAGAAAGCAAGCCTCCAGGTCTGGGAGTCCAGGGCCCCCCTTCTCCTCTCGGGATCTTGGGCACGCACGAACATGTACATGGTGTGAGTTTTAAAGCCACTGGGTCCGGGACTCGGACCACGGTCTACTACATGGGAGTCCAGCAACATAGCCATTACGCTAACTGCTGGTCCCCCTACACTTAACAGATTTCTTCAAGCTCCTTCATCAGCCTCCTGCTGGCCACCATCTTGGATTTGGTGCTGCTGATTTCCCCAATAAATAATTCTTTTTTTTTTTTTTTTGAGAGGTTTTTGGCATAAGGCATGTGCGCTCGCCAGAAAAACAGAGAGAGAAAGCGAGAAATCACCCCCAGGGGGGATGCTGCAATCCTTTCTGCTCCATTCTCCTCTTGGGATCTTCAGCATGCACGCACACAGAGTGAGTTTAAGCCACCAGGTCAAGGACTAGAACTGCGGTTGAGTACATGGGAGTCCAGCGACATAGCCATTATGCCAACTGCTGGTCCCCAATAGGGCGCGTGTGCGTGCGTGCCCAAGATCCCGTGGCCATCCCCCCTGGGAGATTATCTCTCACTTTCTGTCTCTCTGTCTTTCTGGTGAGCGCATGCGCCTTATAGCACACTGAATTTGGCAACTATGATGAAGAGTGCCTGAGGGTGCTATGTTTTATTGCTGATCTTGAAGGCCTTTCAGAAGTGACACTGCAATGGAGATCTTAACAATGGGGCCAGAGTCTTACCAATACAAAAGGGCTGGGGGCAGGCCAGTTGTGGTCAGGAGCAGAGAAAAGGGTCCAGATGCCACAGAGAATGACAGAGCAGACAGGTGGGGTGAGAGACTAGACGAGGAAGGGGTTGAGATTGGACTCTAAGTGCAATGGAAAATTGTTTTTAGGGATAGGATCTGATGTGAGCGATACTAGAAATGAAAAACTCGGGGACCAGCAGGTGGCGCGGTGGTTAAGGTGCTGGACATTCCCACGTGGCTGACCATGGTTTTGAGTCCTTGGATCTGGAGGCTTGCTTTCTCACTTTCCCTCTCTCTCTCTGTGTCTCTCTCTGGTCAAATTAAAAATAAACGAATGAATAAATACAATTAATAAATGATTATTTAAAACAATGAGAAACTCAGTCTGCTGTGTCCAGAATAACCTGTAAGGGGGCAAGTGAGGGAGAGGATCTGTCAGGAAGCTGTTGAAGGAATTCAGGGTGTGCTGGAGGCTCCCACCTGGGGCTACTGGGGGAGTGAGAGCAGAAGCAGAGTGGGAAAATGGAAGACCGATTTTAGAGGAAAGCAGGACAGCACTCAATCGTATAGTTCAACGTCTTCCTTATGTTTCCAAAGGAGGAAAACAGAAAGCCAACAAGACAATCATCCTCAGAAATCTCATATCACTAAAAACCTTTGTTTTTTTAAGTTTTTTGTCATAGGGTGCATGTGCTTGCCTGAGAGAGACAGAGAGAGAGGGAAAATGAGAAATCACCACCCAGGGAGGACAGCCCCACCTCAGTCCCTTCTTCATTCTCCTGGGATTTGGGGCATGCTCGATTTTCAAACTGCTGGGTTCAGGACTCAACTGTGATCGACCATGTAGGAGTCCAGCACCTTAAATGGTACAATACTTGCTGGCCAGAAGACTTTTCCGTGACGTGAAATATGTCACAAGATCACTTGTTAAAAACATAAAAGGTGGGACCAGCAGTTAGCGTAATGACTTTGTCGCTGGACTCCCATGTAGTTGACCGTGGTTCAAGTTCTGGACCCGGTGGCTTCAACTCACATGGGGCGCGTGTGCATGTGTGCCCAAGATCCTGAGAGGAGAATGGAGGAGAAGGGATTGCGGTGTGGCCATCCCCCTTAGGGGGTGATTTCTCGCTTTCTGTCTCTATGTCTCTCTCTGTCTTTCTGGCGAACGCTCACGCCCTATAGCAAAAAAAAACCTCAAAAAAAAATAAATAAATAAGAGGAAATTAAAACCACCCATATTCCCATGACCCAGAAATGATGGCTAACTTAACCTTCCGATGTATTTGTCCTAGGATTTCTCTGCATACATAATTTCCTACTTCGGAATTTTAGTGATTCTGGTGTTACACTCTGCCTTTTTCATCTTTATCATAATGCGGCTCGCTCTGCCCACTGCCGGGGCTTCCATTCAGATCCCTGTCCTTTCCGGCCTCCGGGTGGGCCTTGCTGCTAGCGTCTGACATACTCCCTTAAAAATATCCCAGAAAAATGCAGATCTGAAGTCAGCCGATGGTCTCCTGTAAAGCCCTGATCCGTGAGGCACCGGGCGGGATTCACAGTGGTACGCCTGGACCAAGGCGTTCTCTCCCTCCCTCCGCAAGGCGCTGCTCGGGCCTCTAGCCCCGTTCCTGAACCTCACCAGGCTCTCAGGGGCGGGGCGGGGCCGGCCTGCGCAGGCGCGCTCGGGTCACGCGGCGGCCTGGGGGCGGAGCCTGCGCA